GTCCCTGGAGACATTCAAGGCCAGGCTGGATGTGGCTCTGGGCAGCCTGGTCTAGTGGTTGGTGACCCTGCCCATGGGAGGAGGGTTGAAACTAGATGATTATTGTGGTTCTTTTCAACCCAGGCCATTCTATGATTCTTAGGGTTAGGTAGGCTGTGTAGGGCAGTTTTACAATTTATCTGTGGTGCTTTTCAAATCAGTCTGCTTCTAAAAATGCCAATGGCCCCAAGCAGTCAGAATTATTTGTTTAACTCAATAGAAATTTCCAGTTTTGTTTCTGATAGGAGCAAGGGGTAGGTCTGTTTTGGCTTATTATGATAATTTTTTTTTGTATCCTTTAGTATCCTGTGGAGCACCCAGACAAGTTCCTAAAATTTGGTATGACCCCATCAAAAGGGGTTCTGTTTTATGGGCCACCTGGTTGTGGTAAGACACTTCTGGCCAAAGCCATTGCCAATGAATGCCAGGCAAACTTCATTTCCATCAAGGGGCCAGAATTGCTTACCATGTGGTTTGGAGAATCTGAAGCCAATGTGCGCGAGATCTTTGACAAGGTAGGTGTTGACAGGGTAGCTCCTTATGCTGTGTTTGTGCTGAGATACTCCCAGAATGTTGTCTCCGCTGCACCTGTCTTACTGGCTTGGTTATTGTTTGGTTATTTTGTGTTTTCCCAACTGGCACTGTGAGCAGAGGTTGCTTTCCTGATGTTAGGGTATTAATCCTCTTTGGGAATATAGCTATTTAACTGGTGTTCTCCCACTACAGTTTGCTTCTGCTGTTACAGGATGATAAATGTCCCAGTGCCTTAGCAGTAAGGCTAGCATTAGGGTGGCATAAATATCCTTCACATCCCTTAAAACTTAGGTTGACACCTCATTATACATCACCTACAGATTTTAAAAACCTCCTACAAGTTGTTGTCCTGCAGTATGCATGACATAGGAAAGGAGTTCCACTCCTGCTGCACAGTTTCCTGTAGTGTCACATCCTTTCCCAAAAGGTACACACATGGATTACCTTGGGAATCCTCACTTTTGCGGTCAGGGAAGCCACTGAAAGAGCGATGTTGGAAGGAGAATTAGAGAAAAATGTGGGTTGGAAAGGAACCTCAAAGGCCATCTGCTCCAACTGTTTGTCCAGGGCAGGGAGACAACTTGGAAATTTGGTTTGTGTATATTAGGTCCTCATATATGTTAGTTCTGAACACCTGCCAAGGATGGAGAATCCCTGACTTCTGTGGGCCTGTGTGCTAGTAGCAGTTTGCACCTGTTCTCACTGCACACTTCAAAGAAGGATCTGGCTTTTGCCAGACCTTTTGATATGTTGTGACTACTGATAACCCAGTACCTAAATAACTAACTGGCATCCTCAGATATTGCAGGGAGAACTCTTGTCTAAGCAAATTGGTTCCAACTTTCCCTCTAGGTATCAGTTACCACCCTTCTACTTGGTTCACAATGTTCCCAGTTTGGGGAAAATTCACCTTGTTTTTTTGAGGTAGCAGTGCTCTGGTATTCCTTTGAGCTGCTTTAATTCTAGGGTAGGCTTAGCATGAAATCAGTGCTCCTTACCTGGTAGTGTTTAACAGGGACTGTTTTTATTTGATTTTTGCAGGCCCGCCAAGCAGCCCCTTGTGTACTCTTCTTTGATGAGCTGGACTCCATTGCAAAGGCTCGAGGTGGGAATATTGGAGATGGTGGTGGTGCTGCAGATCGCGTCATCAACCAGATCCTAACAGAGATGGATGGCATGTCCACCAAGAAGAATGTCTTCATCATTGGTGCCACCAACAGGCCAGACATCATTGACCCAGCTATCTTGCGTCCTGGCCGCTTGGATCAACTCATTTACATCCCCCTGCCTGATGAGAAGTCCCGAGTTGCTATTCTTAAGGCCAACTTGAGGAAATCGCCGGTTGCAAAGGTAGGATCTATGCTATGACTGTATCTGACTTGGTTTTGTTGTGTGCTGCACATGCTCCTCATGAGCTGCAGACAAAGAAGAGAGTTTGTGACTGTTCTGTGCAGTGCAGAGCTGGGAAACCTTCCATAAAGAATGGAAATAAGAGGTAAGGGGAGGCTCAAGCTCTAAAACTAGGTATCAACAGGGTTAGGCATCAATATGTAAGCACAGCAGGTCTTGTCACATATTAGAGTTCTGCCCATGGTGTAGGAGTGGGAAATGGCAAGGTGGAAAAGAGTCTTGTACTCTGAAAGAAAAGTAAATGTAGAAAATTGGTTGGAAATAGGAAATTGAAGAGGAATCACTGCAGTTGATTGTTGCCAAACTCTTTCATAGACAAAAGTTATATCCTTTGCCTGGGAATCAGACAATAATTAAACTGATAGTTAATCAGAGAAAAGCAGATGTCAAGTGAGTGCACAAGTTTTTTTTTTTAGGTCAAGTTTACCTTTTTAAGTACTGCTGGGAAGGAAAGCTTTAAAGGAGGTTGCAATACTGCTCCTGTCAGTTGACAGGAAGGAGAGGAGTTTTTTTGTCCTGTCTACCTATGCCCTGTCTCCATTTCCAGTCTGACACTTTCATTTGACTCCTAATGCTGAGACCTGAGCAAGTCATATCTGAAATCCCAAAGTCAGCTTGCTTCTTATTGAAGATGATCAGTGGAGGGGCATTTATAACTGCATAGTGGATTCTTGCTGGGTGTGGGGGAGGATATAGCCTGCCCTTGTATGCAGTTAACTGGAAATGAGAGTCTTAACAGCTTATCTTTCTAAAACTGGCCAAACTTAAGGCAGTGTGTTGGTACCATGGGATCTAAAGGCACCTCTTGATCACCTGAGAGTGCAAGGTGTAAAGAATAGGCTTCTCTTGTATTTATTTATTTTTTTGCTAGGATGTTGACCTGGATTTCCTAGCTAAGATGACCAATGGCTTTTCGGGGGCTGACCTGACAGAAATTTGCCAGCGTGCCTGCAAACTGGCCATCCGTGAGTCCATTGAGAGTGAGATCAGGCGAGAACGTGAGAGGCAGATCAATCCTTCTGCTATGGTGAGTAGGGGCACTCTGAGCTTTCCTTGCTCATGAAATAGACAGCTTGCTTCTGCCTATGGGTGAGGGATGATGTGTTCCTCTCCATAATCCTCCAGTGAGGACAAGTAGGCTCTCTGCACAGAGTGCTGAACTGGAGCACTCTTTGTTCTGTTCTTGTGGGAAGGCAAGTACCTCCTAGCGTGCCTCATCACTGGCATTGCTCAACAGGCATCTACTGCAGCATCCCTCTCTACACCTTGCCTCAGTGGGTATTGATGCATCCTGGCCCAGAGGGAGGTGTGGGCGAGTGTTGAACTGCGTGTGGCTCATCTCAGCCCTCTTTCCCACTGCAGGAAGTGGAGGAGGATGACCCAGTTCCTGAGATACGCAGGGATCACTTTGAGGAGGCCATGCGCTTTGCTCGCCGCTCTGTCAGTGACAATGACATCAGGAAATATGAGATGTTTGCACAGACTCTACAGCAGAGCCGTGGCTTTGGTAGCTTCAGGTAACTGAAGGGAGGTGACGTGACTTGGCTAGCTTTATTGTACTATGGGTAATGATCCCCTCTTGCACTGCGTTTTTCCCATTTTCCCCAGAGTATACAGCAGCCAACTGAGCATGTGGTGGGTACAGACTGCATTGCAGGTCAGTTGTATCTGCTCTGTTAGTGCTCTTGAAGCCCATCAACCCTTTTTCCTTTAATGCAAGCAACATCTGGCAGCAGTGTAAGCCTTTGCATGACCTGCCATAAGGCTTCACCATATTTCTCCCCTCTTGTACTTGGCATCAGGGTGTTGGTTTGGAGGGAGGGGATTGTGCTGAGCTGTGAGGAGGCTTCTGAACATCATCTCTTCTCTTCCCTTCTGTGCTGCTGCATGCAGGTTCCCATCAGGTAACCAGGGAGGCGCTGGGCCAAGCCAAGGCACAGGAGGTGGCAGCGGGGGCAACGTTTACAGTGAAGACAATGATGATGATCTTTACGGTTAACTTGCTGTCCTCAGTAGACCAAATTCCAAGTCAGGCTAAGTTGTACAGGGAAAATCCAATGTTCAGTGGACTCCTGATTTTTTCATTCCTCAGTCAGAACAGTGTAGCTGCACGTCAGACTTTGTACAGGGGATGTTTTCTGCAAACACAAATCCAGACCAATGTTCAGTTGGGAGACAGACAGTGAATTAACAAGTAGGGGGAACCGACTTAATTTCTGAGAAATTTCTGTTGTAGTTTATGTGGCAGAATCAGCAACTTTAGCAAAGGGTACAATGCTAGCCTGTATTAAAACAAACAAAACACAAACAAAACCAAAATAAAAATAAAATAATAAAATAATAAAAATCCCACAAAACTCTAGCTAGGCCCTTGCAATTCCTTTGTGTGATGCTGTCACAGCATTGAAGTGTTGCCTCTGTAAGCTCTGTGTCTCATCTGCTGTATGAACATTCCTCAGCTGCCCTTCTTGTCTGGTGAAGTTCATCTGTGCATTTCCCTGGAGCGTGCGTGTGCATTTTCCCTGGTGGGGTGTGCAAGGTTGCTCTTCATCTTCATGTTAACAGAACAAATTGGTTGGGCAGTCTCTCTCCTGTGCCAGAATTTGAAAGTAAGCACCAAGTAAGCTGGCAGGTATCTGGCATTGCTTTTCTGATGCTGGCTATGAGCTGTTGGGTTTCCTGTTGCATTTGCTTCTGTGCAACAGAGAACTCCAGGAATCCCCCTTATCTTGCCCTGCTTGAAGACAGGCATGAAGGGGGCTCCTGGGCTGTCTCTGGAGTTTGTGGTGCAGCATGATCTGAGTATGTTTGGGAACAGGGGAGCTTTCTCTGATGCTGTTAGCAGCAGAGCAGTGTTCATCAGACTCTGTGGAGAGATTTCTCCTTTTTGCAGGAATGGTTCATGTATCTCTTTGGGCTTCTGATGAAAGGTTTGGTTCTTTGCTGTGAGCCTGCCAATTTTTGTACCCCCAATACTCAGTAGTCAAGTTTTGATCAGGCTCTTGTGCTTTTCCTTCTTTTCCTGGCTGGCTTCTTGCTTTGTTTTCCCTTCTCTGAACTGAAAAATCTGCTACTGCTATACTTAGTATTTTATATTAGATAGGGCTGATAGCTGCATGCTCCTCTAGCCCTGAGTTGTCACAGCAGTTGCCTGCAGCTGAATTCAATTCTTCTTTCCCTGCCTGATGTGAACATGCTGGCCACCAGCAGATAGGTGGGCATCCTTTGCTAGCTGTCTGGCTTATCCAGCTTGGGGCTGAATTTAGCAGTATTTGGGATGTACAGCTGGGCAAGGGGGGGACCTGTTTAATGCATGCACAGGAGCATTGCCACTTGCCATATGTGGCCCAACCCTGAATCATGCAGGGCAATGCATCTTGGCTGTAAGATGCACAGAGCAGCTGCCTACTGTCAGCTTTTAGGGGGTTGCAGGAACTCAGAATTTTTGTGAAGACACCTGACAAGACTGTTGAAACAAGCTTTTGGGGCAACTTCTGCTATGGCAGGAGTTGTGCAGGGCCCAGGCTGTGGGATTTTTTGACTGTCAACCGTGGAAGGGCTCCATCAGATTACCTAGACTTTAAAGGGAGGGAAAAGAGTCAGAAGGATAAGGCTATCCAGGTGCAAGGGACTTGTGGGGAAAAACGCACAGGTATTGAGAATGCTGCTTAAATAGCACGATCACCTACTGGAGGCTGCATTAGGAAGCCATGCAAGCTCAGCTGAGTTACCCCTGCTCAGGTGGTCTGTTCTAGTTCAGAGCCCCATTCTACTTCTGTACTTGTTTTCAAACCACCTGGGTTCAGGGCTATGGGGAAAATGCTACTAGTTCCCAGGGTTGTGCTGCTGCTTTGCAAATTTTGCTGTCAGCCACCTAGGGAGGAGAAAGGACTGTTTGACAGCAGGAGTTCTTCAGGACTTGTAAAAACCTTGCCTAGCTCTGGTATTGGGTGGATTTCTTCTCTGACAACTTGGAAATGTTACCACCCACCCCTGAGCTTTGCCAGCACTAATGCCAGATCCTGTCTGCTGTCCCTTCAGGCTGTGCAGATTGGGGCAGGAGGCAGGTGGGCAAACAGGCAGAGGGTGATGGTGTATGTGTGTCCCAGCTTTTGGGAGCCCGAGGTTTCCCTGCCTCCTCTCCTATTTATAAATGCTAATTAAATCTAGTAGCAAGGTTAGAAACCCTCCTCTTTCTTTGTTTCCTGTGCAATCTGGCTCCTAGGGGGGGCTCCTGGAGTAGCTGCCCCTGCCCTGGAATAGTGCATGAGGCTGGGGTAGCCCCTAAGCAGGTCGAGGTGGGGTGCTTGGTTGAATCTTTTCATTGCTGCCATGGGCAGCAGCTCCTTGGGATGTCTGCTGGGGCCCCAGAGCTGTGTTCATGGTGCCCCAGCCCTACAGATCTGCCCCATGGGGGAACCACGCGATCTCCTAGGGCCTGTAGCCTGGCCTGGAGCATGTGGCATGGGAACACAAATGGTCATGACACTGGGTTTAGAGACTGCGGTCTCTGGTGGTAGCAGAGGGAAGGTATCCCTGTCATCATAGTCAGCCCCTACTTGGGATCACAGCTTCTTACAGCAATCTCACTCAAAACACCTGCCCTGAAGCCACCAGTGGTGGACCCTGGGTCATTACTTGTTACTAAGAATGGATTGCAGGGTTGCAGAGGGGGACAGGAGGGAAGGGCTCCATTCAAGTCCTCCAAAGCAGGGCCAAGCTCAAGCATGTTGCTCAGGGCCTGGCCCCATCCAAGACTGAAAGTCTTCAAAGATGGAGGTTTTCCTCCATGAGTTAACCACCCTCATGGGCAAACGTTTTTCATGGTACTGGGGGGGAGTTTTCCTGGGTGCGTCCTGTGCTGCTGTTTCTCACCTGGATCATGAAAAAAGCTGGGTCCTGGCATCCCTACAACCTCCTTGACAGCCCACATCAGTAAGGTGTTCCTTTCATCATCCCATCCTTGGCTGCACCACCCTACTGCTTGCAGCATCTCCTCAACCATCCTGGCCTCAGTTCTCTTGGCATTCTTCACTGGACTCACTCCTGCTGCCTGTGTTGGTTGTGTCCTGGGAGCCCTCATGGGGTCCCTTCCCAGTGCCAACAGGGGCTCTGAGCCCTTTCTCCAGCCTTACTGTCTGCAGCAGGGTGAGCACAGCTCCAGCACCTCACATTACAACATCTGCTAAGGAGTGATATATTTCTAAATACTTTATTTTTTCTCTCAATGCTACCTTTACAAAAAAAAACAAAAAAAAAATTAGGGCTCATTGAAACTGAGAAAAAACAAAGCAGCTTGCACCTGTGTGCTGACTTGTCTTCTTACTCCATCAGTGTCCACATTTCTATATGGTGAACTCGGCAGGGAATGGGGGAGGGAAAAGGTGTCATGCCCTGAATTGAAACTGATTGCCAAATTAAGCAGTGCTTTAATTCAGTGTAAGACCTCTCTCCCCATGCCTCAGCTGTGGTACAGGCTGTCCTCCCACCACATATTATACACTGTACAGCTGTATGTTCTGTGTCAACCTGGTCACTGGGTGCCTCGCTGTCAGCTTTCCCCCCCCCATTTGAAGTCAGTGATTTTTCTTTGCAAAAAGGATGCCTGGGGAGAGCATCTTAGTCTTCTTGCCACCAGCTGGGCAGAGACGCAGAGCTGTGGAGGTGGAGGAGCTATACAGAGCCAGGTTGGCCATGTGCTTTGTGGGACTCTTCCTGAGAAAAACTGGCAAGAAGCAGAGTTGGCCAAGAAAGACAAGAAATATAAAGATTCTCCTGATGGAAATCCAAAGTTTTTCAAAAAATATAGCATTTAAAAACAAGTCCATCAATTGGATTGCCTTATGTTCCTCCCAGCTCCACCATAATGCCTAGAAATACCTCCTGAATTAAACTTCCCTGTAGAAAAATGTATACGCATGCAGTTGTTTTCCTATGAAAATTCCTAAGGTTGAACTCGAATACTAGTCAAAACCACATCTCTGCTTACACTTGGCCCTGCTTTTACACCTGGACTTGTGCTGCACACATACTCCATTCTCACAGGCATGATGTTCATATGGCTGACCTGTTCCCACAAAAGTCAGGGTGAACTACTCCAGGAAACACAGAATGGGCAGGGGAAACTTATGGAGTTTACTTAACAAGCAAAATATTTGTATATAAAAAAAAAACCAGCAATGCAAACTCATCACATCTGAACAAGAAAGCTCCCACCCTGGGCTGCCCTGTCCCATTGGTTGGCACAGGTCTGGATGGCAATGGGGGCAGAAGGCTGAAAGAGATTATCCCTAAATGCTTTGAGCTCTGTCGATTGGCAGAGATGACGCTCACTGGTGGTCTTGGCACAGGAGACTGGATTGCAGTAGGACTGTAGTCCCAGGTTAGAAATGGTTCAGCTATAGTGGCCACTGCACACAGGAGCAATTCCTTTGCTGTATGCATTCAGGATGGTTTCCTTGGCACCTTGGTCTGGCCAGGACCCCAAACATCAAAGAAGGGAAGAGAAAACTAACTTGGGATGTGAGATCCTGTGAAGTCGTATTTCCACTCTGTTCAATCCACTATGAGTCCACCCTACAGTCAGAAAGTTGGCTTGAAAAGCAAATGACACAAAAGCCACAAAGTGATGTAACTCCCTGGGCACGCATCCCACACCACATGCTTGTGCAAGGCAGTATAGCTCAACCTCTAGAAAAACAAACAAAAAAGGCTAGCAACTAGGGGGGGCAAGGGCAGGAGCCTGCACTCATGCCTCCCCAACCCCTCCCACTCTAACCCCAACATTGTCACTGGAGTAGAAAATGAGCTCACATGGACAGAAAGGGGAAGGAAAGTGGTTGGTTTTTTCTTTTTTGCATTTGAAAGTGTTCTAGCATCTCTGCTCCGCACGAGCTGGATGCTTTGGCATGTGCATTTGGAGTATTGCTGCTTGGAGAAGAGTCCCCAGGACTCTAGGAGCATGGGAGGTGTTGCTTGAGTATCTGTCTTGTCTGGGAAGTGGATTTTGAATTCCATGATCAAATCTCCTCTTTTGTTGGGGTTCTTGGTGAAAGGCAGCCCTTCCCCACGCAGTCTCTTCACTGTGCCTGGCTTGATGATATCATTGCAGGGCAGCAGGATCACTCTTCCATCAATGGTGGGAATGTTCACAGTGCAGCCACATAGGTCCTGTAGGGAAAAAAGAGGAATATGCCATAATCCAGTCCCATGGCACTGCACCAAGAGAGCCCTGAGCCCCTCCTTCCCATGGGCACTGCCAGTGAACAACAACAGGGCAGTCTTAATTTAGCTCCTTACCACCTGATCTGGGAGCTGAGATGGGGGAGCAGCTGAAAACCCAGCTAAGCGTGTTGGATGTTTCTGTGG